TGGGGGGTACCCCTCGGTCTCATTTCTTGCTGGGTATAGGCACGTAAGTCATTGATATCTTAGTGTGGCGACTTATCCGCACAAAAAGAAATCACAGTGGGCAAGGTCAGGGGACCTTGGTGGCCACTCAGTCTCATTGCCGACCGCAATTACTCTGACGTTGAACAACTTTCGTAGCCTATCCCTCACGATGATCCGACGATGAGCTGGAGCTCCATCCGGGGCCCACCATAAGCGGCGAAACATTGCACCCTTGTGTTCGAAGTGCAACTGCGGTACAATGTTGTCGTCGATAATCTCAAGGTAACGTTCACAATTGAGATTGCCGTCAAAGAAAAAGGGTCCAATGACGGTGCCATCTCCACACCGACCTATCCAAAGAGAAATCTCGTCTCATTCTCACATCCAAACTGAAGTTGGGTGGGATAGGCATCGGAGCGTATTCGCGGACATTCTGGTTATTGACTTGGCCATTCATGAAAAACACTGCTTCATGCCCAATCACAAAGTGCTCTAAGAATCTGGGATGCCGGTCAAAAAACCACTGGCAAAATCTTTAAGTCATCTGGGTAGATCTGCATCAAGGAGTTCGTGTTGCCTGTGCATCTTGTAATGGTACTATGGATGTCCAATCAAACAATCTTTTGGAAAGATGATGGCGGAATTCCCAGCCCATTTCTCCTGGCAGACAGGTGGGTCTCTTTGTAGCAACTCATGGACAGCCCTGGTGTTCGCATCTGATCTTACCGTTCTTCGTTGGCCTGAGCGACCCTTGGTGAGATTCAAGCTTGTCCCCACCCTTTCGTACTTTTGGATGTTTTTCCAAATAGTCGACTTGAAGGAATGGCACGGTCAGGAAAACGATGACCAAAATGATGAACCTACTTCTTGCTGGAGGCTTCCAGTCCTCGACCACTCTGTTACCACAAACACACACTGCTCAGTTGTAAGCTGCATTTTACTGGTCTGCGACAATTAACAACCTTTCCAACTTAAGGAGTGTGCAATGAATTAACATGCTGAAGATTGAATAATTTGGAGGCCCAACAAAAGCCCTGCACTGGCCATCTGGTGCAAGACCAGTTCTGACATAGTTGATTGAACTGCTTCGTGCTCATTTAGTTGATGATGAAACGTTTATTTCATTCATTCTGTACTATGTAACCAAACACGTTCCCACTACTTAAGTAATGAATATATCTGGCCATTCAAATTGAGTAACATTACATAAAATAGGATTATACATTTGATCAATTAGATGACAACATTTAGGTTTAAGGTTAAGCAGGAACGCTTTTGTACCCCAACCTATAGACAGACGACAACCGTACAATCTAACGTAGGACAGACAAATGACGAATAAGCCAAAACAAACAAGTGTGAAACAACTCCGCATCAATAGAGCACGAATAAAAATGATTTAGGAATATGAGCAGAGCAACTAGGCTTTTAGTTTTCTAACAACCACTGATAAAGAATTAATGATTTTCGAGGATCGTCTAGACCATTCCAGTACAAGATACCTTGAAGAATAATATCGTTCTTAGCCAATTATGTTATGTTAAATTGGACATATAAGTATCTCCTCACACTGCCTTGATTATTATCATGTTAGATGTTAAAGTAAAACAAGAAGTGGAAGGGAGTACATTATGTATAAGTTTGTACATGAATGTTCCCAGTTTGTATAAATGGTTACATTGCAATAGGTTTAATTTAGCAAACAAAGGAACAGAATGATCACGATAGGCAGTATTCTAAATGATGCGGACCGCTCGTTTTTGTAAAGTTATAGTAATTTGTTACATTTGGATACCAGCTCAAGTAAAAATGGAATAATATAAATATGCTAATATGAAGGAATTATACAATGTTAATAAAACCTGACTCGGAAGGTAATATCGTAGACGATTCATGATGCAAATGAGTGTGCATCCAGTTAAGGACACCTGCTTTCATTGTCACAGCCTATTTGTTTTTATAAGTCCTATAATATTCCCCTTACTTTGCACCTTCCTCTTATAAACATCAAATTGCCTTAACTTGACCCTATTCTGTAGCGTTATATCTGAACAATCTAGTTGCAGAACAATCTCCTTTTAGCGCATAGACCTATACTTGTATCATACGAACCTTTGATTTGATGCAGATTTAGCAAACAGATCCTATCGCCATTGCGGTCGAATTGAACTGGCCCCTAAAAATATATATCCAAGAAATAATGCTGTATGAGTCCTGTTTGGGAAACTTTGAAGGTTGAGAATTGTGTTTCTTGCTGGTTAGACTGATGTTACTAAATAGAACATTTTCCAACTGATATTGTAATTACGGCAGGCTTATTTCAGTTTCTCCCTTCAAACCGCGCTTTCAACCTACACATGAAGTTAGGTTCGTATGTCGCAAAAGTGCTTCATCACCCGAACAATGCAAAAGCAGGGTGCTACATCGGTTTTATCAAAAGAACATGCCAAAACCTTTCACTGGTGCTACAATTTTTGATGCTATTTCAGTGCCTTGGTTTTATATGTACTTTTATGTAGGCCTACTTACCCTCCAGTGCAGTCTATTTAATTAACACCTATAGGTGTGTAAAGTACCATCAGCGGTGCGTGCATAGTCATCTTATAACACCAAGAAGTGTTGCTTTTAACACCAGTTTCTCTACAGTGAACTCTTAGGCTGTGTCCGCATTACGTTTGTGGCTGAAGCTTGAAAAGACCCATGTGCTTATGAAGCCGAAGTCAGAGGCTGCAGCCATTTCCAATGGAAATATGTTTTATCGCAACTTTGGGGATGGCCATATATTCTCCAACTGATTACTTCAGTGCTCGTTCGCACTGACATTAAGCACGTACATCGCCAACAAACCAAATCAATCTCTCATCGTTTGCTTCAGGTCGTGCTTAAATAGGGCCACTGGGGATATGTGGCTATCCACTTGAACGTGATATGTTATAATTCTGCAGTTCAGAATCGGTGGAGGACCAGCAAATAATGTAAGGATGTAATGCTGACAGTAAAACTCCCAACACTTTACATACCGATACTCCTTCGAACTCCATGTCGCTCATTTTATCAAAAAGGATCTCCAAGGTTACATTATCGCTGTATGTAAAATCAGATAACTTTCTTGGTGGATCTGAAAAAAAGATGAATGCAGATTATTTTTTATCTCATACTTGACGTTACGTTTAAGCTTGGTATAATTAAACTTTGCTCTTTTAACGTGGTTCACTCCTCGTTTTTGCTTGTCGACATTTTCATGTACATTTTTTGGTCAGTCCCATCCTCTTAATTTGTAGTAATAACCTATGTACTTATGACAATTGTTTTTACTTTTTGCATATGTTTATTTAGTTTTTAAATATTTTTTTGTCTTTTATTATTTTTTGTTGTAGCAAGTATGCACTCTTATTCAACACGCTTTCTTGTTTCGTCAGAGCTCTTAAATCTACTACCTGTACATTAGGCTTTTTTGTCATGGTTTATATAGTTTTTCTGTTTTTCTTGATTTTACTTTTTAAAATCATATTGGTCTTTATCAAAACCGTTCAAGTTCAATGTTCTCCGAGCCACGACAGCATTTTTGGTAGACTGGTTCCCGCCTGGTACGTCTTACAGACGTCCACCTAACGTAGAGACCAGTAGCAGGTAACGATTCCGGAGGAATCCTGCCGGGTTTATGTTAATGAGGTAATTAGCGTATGTCAATCTCACAATGCAACACAGTCACGTGACAACACTTTGGGAGAGTTTGTAGACTGCATTAATACTCTCTTTACTGCGTCATTTTGCACGCAACACACTTTTGAACGTGAAACGTGTTTACCTGCTTCTCAGGGATAACCGCTTCCATAATTACGGGAGAAAAACTTTTCTAAAGTTTTCCCGAGAGCCATGAGCTCGGCTGCTATGCACAAGAAAGGTTGTATGTAAACATTATATCTACAAACATAAGTATTGCGCGCTCCAGGAATAGCTCCATGTAATGTGGACGAATCACACAATGCGTGGTGAGATTGAGCATAGGTTTTAGTGTGTTAAGCAAAACACTAGTGTAGCACAATTGTTACAATAAATACAATAACTTAACCTGCCTTGGGTCGTGGCCAAACACTTTCTGCCTAACACCCCCCTCTACGAAACAAAACAAAACAAAACAATTCGATGAGGCGGGATCTGTATGGGATTCAAAAGCTCCATGCAATGAAGAGATGTCACATATGCATGGTAGGACAAATTGGATACCACTTATCGGTGTGCTGTACATGGCCGCTGTATGCCACATGTAGGGAACCGGCTGACAATGAGTTATGTTCGATCACAAGAAAGTGAAAGGCGTAATCTTTCCACTTCCAGTTGCGGAGGGTAACTCCCCAAAGATGTAAAAAGATGTTAACAAGAGATACACGGAGGTATTTTTCTCATAACTATGAAAATGATGAGCAGGACGTGGCGCAGTGGGGGAATTCTAGTTTAAGGTCCCCCGTCAACTCCTGGCTGCGTCACAGGCAGTGGTGTAAATCTGTGCTAGGGTGGTGGAGGGTGGAGATAGGGAAAGGTGGGGGGGGGGTTGACATGAAACTTTGAAAAGTGGGAGGGGTGATACAATATGACTCTATATATAGCTCGATGGCCAAGATGTTACTGTACATTTTGTAAAATTTATTCAGAATTATATATTTATGGCTGTTTAATTCTCTCTTTTTTAGTGATACTGAATGCATTTTAGTTGTTGGAAGTCTGAATTCTTCACCACCGCTTTAATTTTTTTGCTGACCAAAAAAAGTGGGGTGATGATTCAATAGCCCATCCCCACCTCAAAAAGTGGAGAGACATATACCCCCATCTCTCACCGGATTTACGCCCATGGTCACAATGGGAGTGAGCATGCACACACAATACTAGCCAAACCCATTAGTGTGTTAGGCTTAAGTATTCCAGGACCGTCATTAATTATGACTGCTCTTTGGTGAATCACAATCAATGCCATTGTGACTAGTCTCATGGTTGAAGGTCATACCATGATGGTTGTAGTGATTTCTCAATTACCTGAAACACGTGACCTATTAATTTGAGTCGCCTAATGTTCTTGATTCCCGGGAGAGATTTCAACTGATGCGATCGATGTTAAGAAAAATTTTGGCCTACTGGCTTCCACATGCAGCCATTGTTAATACATACCAGATATACCTGTAGTGTATTTATAATTTATATATATATATCTCATCTGATTATTACATTTAGTATGTGCCCCGTAATTTGATTTGTCACCTGTGAGATGTGCTCAGGCAAAATCTATGGTAATAAACTCTGGTAATGGCAACAGTGATTGTTTGCTTGCTTATCATTGCTCTTGTGTAGTAGGGTCTACTCTGCTTAGAAGTTCTTCGTTGCAAATCAATTGGAACAACCAGCTCTATTAAGCATTAATCACGTTGAAGCCATTTTGAATCTCCTCTCCTAAATCTGTTTTATGAATTGCAAACTGTCGATAGAAATGGAACCAGATTGTTTTATGATTGCCGTGCTTTTCATGCCTCCCTTCGAATATTTTGCTAAATATATGGCCTAAAACGCTAGGGTACATTTTTCTGTGTCTAATTGCAAATTTAAAAGTAATCATCAGAGTGGACAGGTACTGATTTGTTATCAGTTTTCATTTCATTGCTTTAATTTTTACTCTCAACTACAAAAATCAAGAGTTAACCTCGCTTTCAATGTCAATAGGGCCGACCCACGAGTGAAGTCTGTTTTCTTAAGCGCTTGTTTGGTTAATGTTGTCATAAATTTTGGTAAGGACTTAGAGGATGGGGATCAGGGGATTTTTAAATAAAAAAAATTACCAAGCCGTAGATATTTGAAAAGCCGGTGGTGAATAGGACACGAAGTTCGTTTTTCATGGTATTTATCTCTTCGTGATTAATATGCATTCTAACCTAAGCGCATTTCCATTTTTGTTGTTGTTGTTTCATTTTCAGCCCCATTTCATTACTAAATATTTTGGTTATTGGGAATTCTAAGAATTCCCCAAATCCAATTCATTATTTCCACTACAAAAAATTGGAAATGATTTACTGTCCTACCCCCTGTCCAAAAGTGGGATATATGCATCCCCACCTCACCCACTGATTTATAACCCTGTTGGCTAATCTATAAAGTGTTGCTAACTCTGTCTGACCGGTATGCTTGCGTTTTTTTTATTATTATTATTTTTTTTGCAAGCTGTTGATATTTGAACTTGCCATAGTCGTTACGTACACCCTGTTACAGTTCTCAAATGTTTTGCTCGCACCCATTCAGTTTAAATTAAGGGAATTACCCTGGGATCTAAGTTGCCTCTCGGTGTCCTGGAGAGCAAAGGCGATTGCCCAAACCGTGTCGTAACCCAATGAGCACGTCGTGTAACCAGCCAACGATTCCGCACCGTCCCCATAGAAGTCGTTGAACTTCTCCTTAAATGTTTTGGGCGTCTGCAGTAAAAAGTAATCAGAACGCCTCTAACTGCATCAAAAGGAGCCAGTCAGGGGTTTGCACGATAAAACAGAAGACGTGAGTGTATCAAAGAACTCATATTTTACTTGGGAATTAAACTTTATTTTCTGCAACTAGAACTTAAATGAGCAACTTAAATATGTCGAATTTCTCCCTGGAAGGACATCTCAATTTGCTCATTATGCACATTTTATTAGAAACATCGGTGTATTTACAAGGCTGCTTAATTAATCACCACAAGGGCTTTTCTATACCTTAATCCGTACACGTGGAAATGGCACAACTGTTCATTTTGATGACTTTAGTCTACACATCATCATTGTTGTGATGATGAATGAGATTTGGTGATGAAGTAGCGTGTTGAATGACAAGACTGAGCAATAAGAAACCGTCCCGACAGAGTTCCACAGAATGTGAAATAATCATACGTGCAAGCCTAAACAAACATGCCGGGAGCTGCTTCAGATTTCAGGCGCTAATCAACGATTATTGAAAGTTTGAATTTTCCATCGCAAAAGACCCTCCCCACCTACCAGGCCAGTCTCTGACGGCTTTCGGTTTTCCGTTGGCAGCGCGTTGATGTTGACCGTGAAGACGTTGTCAACTACCACATCCATTTGATCCTTCGTACAGTCTATGGAACTGTCCGGTTCCCGCCACCATCTTGCCTTGTACCAACCTTTGCGAGTGTAATGAAGTATCAACTGGCATTTTACTTCCATGGAAGTCGGTTAACCGGGGCATTCTCTCGCTTAAACTGTTTTCGTAATAAATTTCATCAATTTTAGGGAGCGTCTCAAAATGTGAAAACGTCCTCACTGAGACAGCGTGTTCGTTGGAACGGCCAAGTGGAAAGATAGGTTGTGCTACCTTTTATTGGTACATTTCTAGGAAGCTTTGGCCTGAAGTAGTTTTCATGTGTAATCCTTTTTTAATTTTTGTTCATTAAATTCCATAAACCTGCCAAAGTTGCCCCAAACCACTGGGTACCGTAACTTTGGCAGCACTTGATTAAGCTTCAACTCACAACTAAAAGAAGAGGATGGATTTTAGCTATTACTATATCAAACTTCAGGCTTCATATGACAAACGTAGTCACTCATCAAAGTATTCTGTTTTGGAAAAGTAGAAACGATGAGGATTATAACCTGCAAGGTTATCGAGGTATCCGTTATGAATTTATGTTTTCTACTTCATGGACAAATGATTGTCCGACTGCTATTATCTAGCCGTGAGCGTGCCGTTGGGAACATAGAACTGCAGGAACACGCGTGTTCTCAACAGAACGCTGCACGTCCCAAAGGAACGCCAGATGAACAGGAACGTAACCCGGGACCCATAGTCCACGAATGTTCCCCAATTTCGAGACTCTCCCTTAGTTAGCCTGTGTGTTTGTCGCTGAAGCATAAAAAAAGTGAAATTAAAAATTACATGATACAAAGAGAGTGATCCTACCTGGTACAAACCACACGTACTTGGCACCGTACATCTTTTGGTGGTAAGCCGTACAGAACACGCGTATGGCCATGTCACTATAGAAATTGCCCATAATGATACGGGCTCCGCTTTTCTGCAACAGTTAATAATTATCAGGAAAAAATAGAAGTCATTTTTAAACAAAACTTGGACAGAGATTCACTGCAGTTCTAAGACCTGATTCAATGTCAGGTTTTAATTTCAAATACGCTGTTGCCCATAGTCGATCATTGTTCGTTTACATGACAAATACTACGGGAACTTGTTTGGTTGGTATTGTCACTATAATAAGCACCGTTGTGCCAACGTGTAAAAAGTAACCACCATGATATCATTCACGGAGAAGGTTCTGAAATGAATTAACATGATTCAAGGTTGCATAACAATGAGGGAGAGATGCACTTGTCAATTTTAAAACAATTTATCTTAAATAAAAACGAGCTATGAAAAATCGAAACGATTCTACTACCGCTTGTGGATCTGTTTACCCCGTAAAAAATCTCCAATAATGCAGTTACTTTCTCTCGTAGAGTAAGTGAGTTAGTAATTTTTCAAGATTTTGCTGAATGCTACAGCACAGTGACCAAGGAAAACATGGCCGAACCTAATCTTGTGCATCACCTTGATGTTTTCTACATGTAGAACTGGATCGTCGACGAAGCTCTCGGCGGCAAGGATTTCAATACCTGCAGCCTTGGCGTCCCGCTGGAAATCGGCCATTGCCTATAAAATGAGGTAAACAAACATTGTTCATTCATGGTCAAGTTAAATTAGACTTAGTCTGACGAGGAGAAAACGTACCTCATTTTTTCAGTGGCAATAGAAATCGTAATACAATCGGTAGTCTACACCGCAAAAACACAGAGTAAAGAAATGACTCTATACCAGAAAAAACGTAGTCTTTGTTGTTCCTTTCGAACAATGCACTTAAAGCAGTAAAGCGTTTTTTACATTAGATTCTATTCTCGCTCTCCATCGCATGTACAGGTCACCTTCTGTTAGCACAGCGGTTCGTGTACGTGTTTGTATATGCACTTTACCCAACGCAGGATTAACTTATAATTTGTAATGTAACTGCTAAAACGAGGTCTTACAGTTCTTATATCTTTTAAAAGTTTGTGCCAGTTAATAATGATAATAGTTTATTTTTGATATAGCGTCTTACATTATAAAAAATCTCAAAACGCTTGATAAGAGAATCGTAAGCATGCAATAAGAACTTAATATCAATTAATCAACAAACATCAGATAATACCTTACAATATTAATATCCTCATTACACTGTCATCAATTCTATTCAATTTACAATCACATTATTCTTTCCATATTCATATAATTATTAGTTTCAAATGTCTAATTAATTAATCAATAGTTAATTTATCAATAAATTATTAAAAGCTTAACTCCATCACAGTTTTTGGTGCGTATATTTGACTGGTACACATATATCAATTATGTAAAATACTGGGGTGCTGACTCGCTGTGATAAATACATTTAAAAATGCTGACCTTTTGAGATAATAATTAACAAAATAAAATGAAATAAAATCTAATTTTCTAGAGAGGCTGCAATTTTCTAGAGAGAATGCCAATATGATATGCTATCGCCCTAATACCGGCACCTGTCAGGTTAACACAAATCTCTCATTCAGCGAAAATAATCATATTTAGATGTTAACATTATTAAAATGGGTCTGGTTGATTGAACGTAAATACATTATGGAAATCTATTAATAAGTTTGACGAAAGAGCCTGACAGACTTGACATGTCTCGTCTAAAATGATCAATTCTGAGAGGTAAATAAAATTAGAATCTCAAGAACAAGCTACACATATATCCTTAAGTAAGAATTATGTATTCTATATGTTTTACGTTCGAAGGTATTATATATCCTTAGGTTTTTACAGGATTTAGCCTACTTTTATATTTCAATCGAAAATATTGAGGAGTCCCGCAATTAGGTTTGCGTGAACAACTTCGGCGATTTGCCTGGAACTCTTTAACACATACATGCATGTATGGGGAGTAGTTTGGGGATGTGATTACTGATCAATTTCTGCAAAGAAAGACTAATTGCATTTTTTCAGCGAAGGTAGAGCCACTCATATCAATTCATTTGGGTCCTAACTCTGAAAAGCTGAAGCTGCATTTTTGAATAGGTGGGAACGTCAGTTTCCCCTAAATTTTTCACTGATGTATGAACATAACGGTTCTTCTCAAGAGTCTGTCTGGACCTGTCAACATGGTGAATTAAGCCAAAGTCTCTCAATCTTCACTGAGACTGACAACTTCATTATTGCTTTTTTCGGATTATTCTGTTTCTTGCAGTCGCTGTAAGATCAAATCTTGAACTTCAATCAGTGCAACAATCATTAAGTGAATCGTTTTCAGTGCACTCTCAAAGTGTATCCATTCAGAAGTACAATCCTATAACATTGACATCAGCTGTCCTCATAAAGTTTCAAACAGAAGAGACTTTTCTACATCCTGTGATTTTGATTCCCCAGCAGCGTGCATAACACAGGAATAAAGAATTCTTTCTAAGTTTAGTATCTGCCAATCAAGATACTTATAACCTGTCAAAGGGTACGTTTACTGAAGCCGCAGCAACATCTGCGTCGGGCAAGGCAAAAATCCGAAATTAATTTACATCTCCCCGGCACAAATCCATCTTTGAAATAGTTGTTCGCGGCAAGCTCGGCGGGCGAGTGGTTAAGACGTCCGCACTAGTAAGCAGGAGGTCGTGGGTTTGAGTCCCACCCGAGTACGATTGTGTTTTGGGTTTTTTGGTTTTTTTCACAAGCCCTCTGGGGTATACCCTGAATATAGTGTATAAATCCAAAATTAATTAACATCCGCCTTCTCCAATTAAATTGAACTGTATTTTCAAGAGACTAAAAATAATAACTGTGAATTCAGAGAATCTCAAACATTATAAGTCCCATCTTGTACATGTGCTCGCTCTCAAAGTGCCGCTGTGAAGCTGATGCTCAGTGCCGTTTATTTGGTTTATTTAATGATTATGTTTTGCTTTCACTAAAGGCTGATAAGTTTTCAGAATGTCCTGCGTATTAAAAAATACCTTCCGATGACAGTTCGAAATAACAGGCAACATTTGTGAAATAATAAATTTTATAACCACATTTTCAGCTTTCAAGCCATTTGACTATTTTACACTTTTTGTCAAATAAGCTTAGCGGCAAGCGCTCTCATTTTACTGGTATCGCAAGATTCCATTTTCATGACGGCCTATTTCCTCGGCACTTGTTGCTTTCTCTCGAAGTTTTCACTGCACCTCTATGGCTCAATAACACAAAATAATTCGTCCACATTGTTTCAAGGAGAGAGCCGGCAATCTTACCAAGGAGAAGAGGTCGATAGATTGGTAGAGAGTGGCCACTTTAGTCCAGTTGAATTTCTCCATAGCGGCCAGCCAAACCACGTTGAAGAGCGACTCTGTTGGGAATAGCCGGAAGAAACGGGGATAGAGGAGGCGCTTGGACAGCTCTGGGGACGAGGCACCATAAGACAACTGAAAGAAAGGCAATTCTTGTATTTAAAAGGGATCTTTACATTGTACCCATGTGGTTGATTGAAGTTTTTATGCCAACACTATTGGTTCATATATGATTCTGGAGAACGTAAAGCCTAACCTTGCAGAAGAAAATGTTGGACACTCTGAGAGGGTTACTTAATATAAGCCTTTCAAGCAACCACTTTGGAATATTACCGTCATCAGGAGTGCGTACAGGGTTTATACGCCCCTGTGAGAAAAATTCCAGGATTTTTCCCGGATTTTCCAGGTCAAAAGTTTGATTTTTCCAGGACTTTTCAGGTTAACAATCAAGAAGATTGTGAAGTTATAACATAACAATATACAGAAATCGAGCAGCGCAGCGACAAAGACGTGACACGTATTCTGATAGTGACAACTGGACCACGAGGTAGACTTACACACATCAGCTGGCGATCATGAAAAATTAACTTCCCTAAGGCCACTCAACTTTAAGGAAAAAGGTTCAACACATTCACAGTTTTACCTTTACATTGAGCTTTAATAGTTTACCTGTGTAATGACTGGAAATATTTAATTACGTATTCAATAAAGTACACAAATTTAACCGAGAATGATTTCATAACTCTATCCACAACAGAGAGTTCACCATGCATGGAGCTACATAAAACTAAGGTAAAATTTGAATACAAGAAAGTTTGGTAATGATATCCTTGGTACCCCCTGCTTGCAAAAAAGAAAGAATTACAATGTGGGTACCATCAAAAAACAATTTCGCTCACAGCATGCGCATGCAGGGTGGGTGTGTTTTCGAGTGTGTAGACCATGCACGCCGCATGGTCTGACGGTGAATACTCTATTGCACCGCGCTATTTCAACAACAACAACAACGTACGCGGACACGGATCGATCGCGGTAAATTTTCCAACACAGTAATAGATCATTTGTCTCATGTTACTGCAATTTCCAGGAATTTCAAGGACTTCTTTTAAAAATCAAAAGCACTTTCCAGGACGGTCGTAAAATTCCAGGATTGTCCAGGTTTTCCAGGAGGCGTGCGAACCCTGTACGTAGAATAATAATGTGCAAAACAAAAAAGGTACAATTTTTTCCTTCGGTGAATCAAGGAAGTGTACAGCTTCATGCCAAATTTTGAGAAAAAAAAATGAAAAAAGACAAACGAAAAGCCAGGAAATACTTCAACGTAAAATACTGCTGTTAAATACGCAGTGTTGCATTGGTTTTGTAAAAGTAATTCACTGTAAACGAACTTTACTGCAAAACGTGTTTGTCACAAGTACTTACTTAGTATAACCCGACAGGTTATATGGATTGACACAAGAAGATGTCTTCGGACAAAGTGGTACAGTAGTTTATTCAAAATTGATCTCATATGAATTTTATACATTTACTGGACATTCCGTTTTCCATCCATCATATAAGTTTCCTTGCCTTATTAGTTATTGGTTACCAGTCCTTTGAATATTAATACAGGGTGAATGAATGTGTTTGGTTCATATGGATTTGAGGAGGGCTAGTCAAATTAATTAATACCGACTTTTCCTTATAAAGCCGGTGGACTGCCTCAATGGCCCTTCCGGTCCAGCCTCGCTTTCCTCCCCAAACGTCTTGTGGTTAAACTTGCCATTCTTTAAGTGAGTCTCATTACTTGGAAAGCGGTTCTACTCTTGAAGGCCACTCCGTGCAACTAAAGTATTACAACATGTGCTATTGTAACCTGGTGATATTAGCTTTTGTGAAATGCAGCACTATATTGTATATATAACATGCTGACACTAATAGCTGCTGTCACTTTGGTCAAGTAATTCTGCCATTAATTTTTCGATCTTTACGCAAGTATTTGTCATTATTTTGACAAATTGTTGAGATGATTGTATTTGATGATTTATGTGCAGTTTCTTTTAAGAATTTTGTAAATACTTGACTGTAGTTGTCAGATTTCGTTTTTTGTGAACCTCCTTTTGTTTTTTGTGTCTGTTTTTTTTCATGGACATTAACATTGATACAACTCACACTTACAACATAATTATATAAAGCGTTAAGGCTAGAACTTGTCACACTGGCATGCTTGGAGCAGATTGCAGTAAACTGCATGGCATTTCCGTAAGGCCACTCGACAGCAGATTCTGAATCAATCTTTTCTTGCCCATCAGGAAATTGGAATTGACTTTGTGTGGACAGTGTTTTTTTTTTCCTTTTTTGCCTTGTGGTAGGCTCAGTCTTGAATTAAGAGGCAAACAACAAGAGGCAAGCGTTTCTGACTCACTCTGTCATCCAATCAATCTGCCATCAATATGGCGATAAGTAGACATCAGTCCTGGAAGCAACATTCGGACCCATCCTATTCAGCCTAACCTAGCTCACGATGGAAACAAGCATTTTATCTCAAATACACCAAACAAGGTAAGTGGAATGCTACTGGATTTCTTATACACTGAGTCTGAAAATGAAATTCCACCATTGTTCCAAAAATGAATGACTCAATAACGCAATGTTGCCAGGGATGTGATACACTAAGTGAAAGTAGCAACATTGGGGAAATACTATTTAAATAACAAGGTCAGTTTTATATTATAAGCATCCAGTAGCTTGAAATGATGTTCTATTGTAATCTTCTGCTCCGAATCATTCGCCTAGTGATTTTATTGATTGGCATTCTTTTCAACATGAAATAGATTAGTCTTTCTATAGAACTGTCTATCCCAAGCAAACACTTAAATGCAGTGCAAACTTGGGATAGAATTTTCAATCCCAACAAACTCTCAAATGAAGTATGAACTCTAATGTAGTATGACCTTGCGAAGTTCGCCTTGCTTGAGAAATATGCAAGAGCTTTTTCAAAATGTTATCAAAATCTTTGTGATTTAGTGTTTTATACAGCTTGTTTGCATTTTGGTTTGGGTAGCAAACCTTTATTAAAAAATAATGGTTACCTTGGACAAATCATAAACTAGATTATTTAGGAAAATATGCATGAAAAATGATAAATCTCATTGGAGGAATCGACAAGAGAGAGAAATGTTATTTTAATTGACTAAAAATCTTATTTGAAAAAGAAATTGTTTGCGTGAATTTGTTGTGTTTCAGTGCTTCAGTTCAGAAAAAAAAACATTCAGGTTACTGTGGATGGATTAAAAACAAAATGTAGCATCATCTTACATGAATGATACAATGGGTTAGAGACAATCGGTGTACAAAGTTTATTTTGTTCTTGATTTAAATCTGTGAAATGTTGCTTTAAATTCATAACTTTTTATGTTCTACAGGAAGTTGAGAATAGGATGCTTTGATTTCTCATTTTCACCAATTGTTTCACGAAAAATCATCTTTTTAATGGTCCACTTCTTTAAAAAGTCTAAATGTTAAAGTTGAAGACAATTGTGAAGGTGATCATAGGAACTGCACATCAAGAACGTATATGAGGATCAAGATTTCTAGATACGAGATAAGGGAACCGTAGCCGTATATTTATTTGTGTTTGTTACAGCACATATCTATGGTGATACTCTCCAATAAATGACAGTGATTTACAGTATATTACTGGCGCCCGGGCTGCCAGTAAAAAAATGTGAAAATTTACATTAATTGTATAGTTAAAGCTGCTTCGTCGATTTCAAAGGAAGTTCCACCTTGCCATTTACTATACGTGTACGCAAAACGCTTACGGCTATCCTGACAGAAATCTGTCGGTGCCAACAAAGTAACACAAATCAATATCTACAATACGCGTATGGGCTGTGTACAAAAGGAGCATTTGCCCATTCTCTGATGGACTTGATACTTACAGATTTCACTGAATGACACTCTAAAATTGTATTGATGCCACATTATTTGGTAATAGACTTCACCTTGACCGTCTGTTTAAAAAATCTGCAAATGTGGCAAACAATGCGAACTCTTTCTAAGATCGTCTTTTGTTTAAAATGCTCACAGAGAATAAAATCCTTCATGGTTAATTGCACAGTAAAATTAGCGGAAGCAAGCTTTTAAGACCACGAAGAGTAAGACAGATGGGCAAAGGCCCCAGTCAGTGCAGCAATTTATACAAACTTACCTCAAAAAGTCACCTAATCACAAGTAGGAACTTTGCACATGCAGCGTGGAAAAATCCGCTTAGGGTCGCATTCAAAATTGAGCTATCACCAATGCCCCACGTGCCCTACTCAAAATTCTTTTAACATTCTGGTATACTCTAGTGGAATGAACTGCACAAAGAATGGCAGCCGATAAGCCCATACAAGATTTCATTATGCGCTCTACGATCGATACAACCTCAGCGATTTCAAAAAGTAACAATGACAATTACAAGATGCTAGTTAATTAAATAATGATGTCAAGTGTAGACTGAAAATCTTAAGCACCTGAGCAGAAGATCTCGAGTTTTTGTTCTCAGCGCAGCTTGATTTAAACTGAGCTATTTTTGGATTTGGGGAAAAAGATCAAATGCAAATAAAACAAAACCACAAAAAAATCACTACAGACAGAATAAACAAAAAAACTGGAAGATAATTGACCCTCTATGTACAGATGCAGACACGGAAAAATTTTGTAAAACATTTCAAAGAGTTAGGAAATACACAGTCTGAAAGCACTTTAAAGCTTCAATGGAAGTAAAGGATAATCGAAAACTCGCTTGACCTAGAAAAATGGAAGGTCGGAGAATGAGGCATCCCCAAAGGATCAGTTTCTGTAAAGCTTGAGCAGCCTGAACAGCTACTGTTTTTCGTTTAATATGGTTTTCAAGTGTCTGATTGCGTGCAAACGAGAACAGGAGGCAGATTTGTTGGATTTAGAGTGAAGATTAGTCGGTGATGTTCTCCTTTCTCCTTTAGTAGTAGAACAAGCTTATTAAAAAGAGCTCAGAAGATAAAAATTCTTTCTTTAAAAAGTTGATTTCCTCTGAAAAGCAATTTGATGGTTTAACCGTTGTTATACCAAGGTTAAAGTCGGCTACTATTAAAGGTTGCATCATTAAAACAATTATTATTATTTTTCCAACTCCAAACGAAAACAGTTTCCATCAGCTGTTGCCCATTTAAATTTTCATTTCTCATCACCATTTGCAAGTTATGCTTTGTCAGTTGAAGATTGAGTGACTCATGCGCGATAAGCCAATTACGTGCCTTTTTCTGCCTTATCAAGATTTACCCCGTCTTTAGACCTCGTTTTCACGAGTTTTGTCTTGCCAGACTCAATATCTAACCCAGCATAGCAAAATTTAGTTGACTTTCAAGAGGCAAAAAATCATATAAAAAGGTAAAAATAGACTTTTACATGACACCAAAACAAACAAATGATAAACTGACTTTTGGTGGCATCTTTCAAAACGACAAAACACCTTAACATCATTAATTTTTGATGTCACTAGTAGTTGGCGCCATTACATGAAGTCTTCTCCCCAGCACACGCAAAGTACCCGTAGCGCATTGACTTCAAGTACATTACTTTAAATACTGGCCGAATTAGTGACTTTCGCTTGCGACTTACCAGTGAAAAAGTCTGGCAGATGTTCCTGATTACACAGAAACAGGGCCTCTTATTTGCAATCGCCAGTTTTCAATGTTGGCGCCAAGAAAATCATGGCTTCAGATATTTAAGCCAGAAAATGGGGTAAATCCAATCACATTTCTCCGTGATTCAAAAAACTACATTAGCGCTCACTGCATGATATTTCTTCGATATCATTTGCTGTTATTTTCCTAATCATTTTATTTTTATCAGACGTGTTAACAGTGGTCCACCTTTGGTAGTGTTTCTAAGATGAAGGCATTTGTTACGTCTGTCTTACTGAGCTCGCTGTTGTGACTTCTGTGTTATTTTCCAGCGTTGGGCGCTCATTGTGCTTTCTTGAGTTACATATGTCTGGATGCCACGAGTCAGGAATGTCGGCAACGTTGAAAATCCAGAAGGTTAAAGTTAATTGGGTCAGACGAAAAATGTGAGATGTGCGAGAAAACAAAGTAACAAAGAAAATCAAAACATGCATTTTATGATCTGCACATGCAAGCTGTTTTGAAAATGTACTATTCAGTTCACCAGCCGTTGTCATGGCAATGCCATCACCAGCAAAGACTCTCGTAATTATATGGGTCACAGAGTATGCGCTGTTGATTAACTGCGTGACGCCGGCTAAAACTGTCGGAAGGGTTCTATTAATTTGAAAAGCTTCCGTATTATCTTTAGCATCAATATCACTTACTTGTATTAAATTCCAATGATGTGAGACGAGAGCCGTTGGCTCTGTAGCTACAGAACACCCTCCACCCAGGATCATTATTTTTGTAGTGGTGATGTTGTAAAGTTCCCGGTACATCACGTTCACAGCCGTTCCCCCATCACACTGAAAAACACAGCAGATACCTTTTTTTAAATTTCACTGACTCAATCACCAACACGTTCTGAATCAGAATGGCCGCATTTACAGATCACTATTATACTACATTAACACTTCAGAGACTTTAGATTTCTAACTTCTTACTCCTTTTAGTGTGTTCTTGGTTAGTAATGGTAAGTAATCCGACTGAATGAATAGAATGCCTTCGAAATTATAATAGGAAATGAACTCTTGAGTGTGTTCAGGGACAAAATTCCAGTATTCTTTGCGAAATTTGTGTGATACAGTTCCTCAAAGCAATTAGAGAAACCTGATATTAGAACCAACCCCCCCACACACTGTTCAATATTACTGTTAAATGTGCAGTACCGTACTGTACCTGATAGTGGTCGTTGAGAGTAATCCACGTGTAAACGAATTTTACAGTAAACTACCCATGTGTTTTACACGGTAACAATAAACTGAAGTTGTAGAAGCTCATCCAATTACTGTATAAATCTATGGTAACGAGTTTACAACTTTAAAGGGTAAGGTTTGACGTTTATTTTCGTATTGGCACCAAAAAAGCAATTCTTTGCTTAACCCAAGTAATCTTGGAATATTTTATTTTTTTTATAAAAGCGTTGAACTATATATTGTGCACTTTGTTGATGTAGTTTTAAATATTATCACCACCTATTAATTCAAAGATACAATTCACAGGAAAATTCCTGAACAAATCGATGATGTTTGTGTACTAACCCACTACGAACATTGGAGGGGTCAGCCGATGCATATACCATTTCGGTTCACTATAAAATGTGCCACTGAATGAAGAACGGCCGTGACAGAGATTTCCAGACACACGGTAAAGAAAGCGTGACCTAGAACATATCCTAACTCCTCCTGTCACACGTCGGATGGATCTTATTGACGTAATCCAATTGACAGTGGCTATGTTACAACATTATAGCAAACTAGCTGTTATGAAAATCTGTGTTTGAATATGAGACTGCTGTATTAATGTAATTTACCGTCAATTTGAGGCTCCCGTGCTACCAGTGCAGTCAAGCACTGTAGAAAGTTTACTGTAAAAACGTTTACTTTGCAAATACACCGAAATAAACAGGAAAAGGCATGATGCATCATCTGATTTAATTTGAATGCGGAGAAAACCTTGAGTGTGTCGGTTGTTGCGCTGATGGGAATCTGGTTAAAAATCTTACCAGGAAACCGTCATTGGCTGTGTAACGAAAGAGCTGAGAGGGCACGATATGATACCAAAATTTTGGCAAGCCAAACGGAAGGCCGATTTACTGTCTCTTCCATATGCTTTGACAGGGGGGTTGACAGCCACTTGGTTTAACCTTGAACCTCGAATCTACCCAAACATTTCCAATGTTACAATCCTAAATTGTCATCTCGTGAATAAAGCCCTAAGTAATATTTTCTGTCAGTAGTTTAGATGGAGAATAAGGAAGGGAACTTGCCTTTGTGTCTAGGAGCAAGATAACGATCTCGTAGCCCGGTAGAACATCAGGGTTGGCATTAATGTGCTTTGCCGCGAGTTGGCTGGCGGGCCAAAAGGCTTCCCCAGCTGCCCAAGAGCCAGACATTGGATAGAGACCAAGAATGTAAAGCCGGGTAACGTTGGGCTCGCATTCTGCAGGGGCCATGTTGCCGGATAGGAACAGGAAAAGCAGGATCGACATATTGCTGATTGAGGGGAACACAGCGACTTGTCTCCTCAACACACCCACGTCACCACCACACCCATGTACGTTGAGTATTTGCACCGTTATGTGAATGGTAACCTTGCAATAAATGACTGGTTCATGTGCGGGTGTGCGTGGTCATTTACGATGTCGGTTTCACTCCTTTTTATATCATGATGGCGTAGCCACCACCACAAATGCTAAAATCTTATTGGTTATACAGAAACAAGGCTGACGCTCATCTGTCGCCGTATACAAGCGAAAGCTATTCAATTGAATGAGTAATCCGCGAAGCTTCTGAATGCTGGCATTTATGTTAATCTAATAAACATATGAATAGACGGAGCTGCAAACGCTAGAAGCCCAGTAAGCTTATGGTTTTTAGCTGACGTCATGTATGACGTAAAACTCAAGTCAGTTAAATGTCAATTTAAACATGAGCAGTGCGTGTCAGTGCATTGCGGCAGTACGGGATACAGTGCTACGAAGCGGTAGGCTCTGATGAACTGGGTGGTAACGGCTTCGGTTCTTTTGTTGTTATTGTTTACGTGTAAAATATAGACCTCAACCGTGTGACTAAATGTAAACAATACCACCACGTGTGGACCGCCTTGGCCCCAGTGATCGCATATATTCCACGTATGTTCACCCATCACTACCGGCGTATCAATTTAGTTTATAAGGATTGTGTGAGGAGTGCCTGACGGGGGAGACATTATCTCCTCCGATACGGCTTCGATTTTTTATCAAAAGAGGCGGCGGTGGAGAGCCGTAGCTAGTATTCGATACTTATGCATGCCGTAGTCTCACATGGAGACGCAGCACCGCGTATTGCCAACACAGAGTACAACATAAACCGCTGAAAATATGTCCTGTAGGGGTTTTCCTGAAGATATATGCCACATATATATTTGCAATGGACGTTTGTAATGACACACGTAATGAAGCTAAAAGGGCAAAAGTTTTTAAAGATATATTGAGCCATTTCATGCAACAGCGTCACTAGAAGTGAGTATTGTTCCTTCACATATCCTAAACTGATTTTTATCGACACCATTAAACCTTACTAACTTTTATACAATTCGAATATCACCTGCTGTGACAGAACAAAGTCACAGTGAACCTGATTTTGACGTTCGTGAATCTGGCTTTAAAAAAACTATTGCAAGCTAATGACCATCATGGTGGCGTTTAGTTCAACGCTGGCTTCATATTTATGTGTTTCACATTTGTGTGAAAACCCTGATTGCAAGAATATCATGATTTGGTTTGCACGAACAGTGGAAATAAACGAAATTTCACTGCTCGAAAAAAAGGCTACTGCATATTTGATTACATAGATCATTCACCCATCTATCAAACGTCTCGTTTCCATCACAAAAGCTTATTGGCGTTCCAGTGTACGACCCTGAACGTGATTCCTACGGGCAACTTCAAGCGCACTTGCGAATGCTACGTGCTTGACTAGGTTACCTTGAATAGGTAGATTACCATCACAACACTATGAACTCCTTACCATCACAACACTATGCACGCATAACCATCACAACACATCACAGGTCCAGCACGATCTTTACATCAAACGAAAAAGGTCTATAGTCCCTTACCAAAAGAACCAAGACTGCTTTAGATGATGCTATATAAAGCTCTCTTCATCATCGATAACACGGTTGTGTATGACACTTCGTCCTTAGTCACTCCAGTGAATTGCTTCCCGATGGGGTTGAGTTTCAAAGCTTAAAAAGAAGGAAGACAGTTAAAAAACGAAACTGGGTTGTGAAAATGAATTAATGCATGATGGTTAGAATAGATCAGAATATTGAGATGGTATTTACATCATCAATTACAATTTAGTTATCTTCATTACTTTTTCTGATGGTTGTGATCTTCATGAAGCGATTTTTTGTATTACGTTTGTATTGTTTTAAGTTTGTTTAATTTCCTCATTGAGGGATAAAGGGTATCCTCCCGCAATTATGCATTTCTGGAAAAGTTCGTTCTTTCGAGCGCTACATCCCAGATGACGTGGAGGGCGCCATCTGCGCCGACATGATGTGCGACCATTGCAACGCGCTAGCCTGTCTCCGTTTTGGTTTTGGAACCAGCATATGCAAGCTCGCTCAAGGCCTGTTCGTTTCACACAGATCTAGATCTTGATCAATGGTACCATGTGTGTTAATCACGGGGGGTGGGGATTTATACCTCCCCACACCTTAGGACCACGGAGGATGGACTTGAGAATCAAAGTGAAACAAACGAAGTGGGTTATGAAGAATTTTTCGGACTTCCTAACGTTTTACCGGCTGTGGATCTTGGACTTCTTGAGCTTACGACAACTAGTGTTGTACTCAAAGATAAACACCAATCCTCAACTTTGTCAAAGCAACATGACCGACATGACCATTAGCTCGACAACGCTTTCATCTAAACGGGCAGCCCAGCTTGGAGTGTATTATGTAAAGTACATCTCGAAAACAAGATGCCATGAAATAGCTTCCAATTCAGACGACCTTTCCTGATGACCCCTGACATGTTGGGTCATGAGTAACATTATCTTGGGCGATACCTGACCTGAAAGAGGAAAAGCAAAAGTAACGAAATAATAAACAGAGACACTATTATTCTATAAGAGCATTTTTTCTGTAGCTGCAGCAGATATCGACAGAGTATCATTTTAACCATGATTGTAATAAGCAGTTAACAGTCAAAAAAATGCAGCGAGCCTTAGCATATGTAAAGAGAGGAGATCTCCATGTATATAACATGAAGTTAGCAGCTGTTGTGTGGAGAGCCTGTCGGGAAGACAAGGGAGGTTAAATGATGATGATGATGATGATGCTGAGACTTTATCTCAGGATGTCGTTACTATGACGAATGCCTTGGTTGCGAACGCATTTTTATTATTTGTCGAGAGGGGAATACATGGAATGCTTGAAAACGGGGAAGTTCAGGTTGACTGGGGTGGTCAAATGAACAATAAGGCGAGGATTGTGGGACAGAATCCCTAACGTGCTGTGGATTACTTCATGTAAATGAGAAGTGTGTGTGGATACGGTGGTGCAGACAGGCTTTTTCTCTGGAGATGCAGGGACTGAGATGGGGGGGGTGGATGGCATTGCCCTCTCTTCCTGCTATTAATATGAAACTGAAATTGTAGAATGGACAGCCCTTTAAGGAGCCTTGTCTCCAAGGTCTATGTCCCAACTTAAGTAACGCATAGCAACACAGTAAAAATGGTGTGGCGACAGCTCACATACCAACGAGGAGGGAAAGGAGGGGCAAAAGTCCCTA